CTTTCATTCCACAAGTGTTCATTACAATCATTTCATTCCTGCGTCTAACTGTGTGTGTTTTTCTGGGCATAAAATTGGACCCTCATTTAAAGTTCCCCAATCATATTCTTTACGTTAAACCAAAAACAGCATTTGGATACGATCACTCTCAAATCGTCCTTTTTTTTCACTTGAAGCCTTATTGTCTTATACTTTGCCTTCATACATAGTTCACATCACACCTATGGCATTACATCATGGGGAAATCCTATAACATTCATATTCGTCTGTACAGCACATTTCAGAACAGGCCAGCGCATTATTCCAACAGTTCATCTTATTCTAAGCTACCCCACTCTTTCAGGCTAACGTATTCTTACTGTGTCTGGCTTATTTAAATTTCACTTAATCACATTGTTTAATAAACAACTTACCAACAGCTTTTGTTTGATTTAATCGAGCTAGTTTTACACTCACTAACCCCAATAGCCTAGATTCGCCCCACTCACAACTCCTTTTACCTAAATGTAACCCAATTATGGCAAAATGACGTCCGCCTTCGCTTCATCAATTGTGGAATAACCTGCCCTATACCTAAAATCATCATCATCTTTCATCATTCAACGTGATCTAAAAACTTCATCTTGCATAACTAGGTTGACAACGATGATTACTAAACGATTCTTGGTATCCGGGCATGAATGGAAAGTCTTTGCAAATTTACGTTATTGCTTTTGGCGTTATGTTTTACTATATAATCTATTAATATTGTTCTTTGTGTCGCATTCTACTGCCTGTTTGTTTACTTGATGTTATTTTATGTAAGTTCACTGTTATTTTTCTTTTGTGTTGCGTATTTTACGTGCTGTTTTAATTAATCATTTTATTGTTATTTAACCGAGGGTCCCCCGGCTCGCTTGACTTTGGGACCCTCGTCTGCATACACTTTACGAATTTTTGTATTTTGAATAGATAATAAACTGAACTGAACTGAACTAATTGCCTAATTCTTAAATAGAAATACAGAGGTAGACAACGCACGCACCCATGAAAAAAAACAAGCCATACTAGACGACCTATCGCAGTATAGTAGACTGTGATAGGGTAATCACAGCAGCTGTCTCTTTTTTTGCGCGTGTCCTGTATCTTGATTCACCCCCGCATTTACTGATCCTTAATTGAATGAACTAATCCTTGAAGACCTCTACTTATACAACAATATACGCAACTCGCAATCCACATTCATCTGCATACGAGTATGGGTTGCTGTAAATAAGCTAGCTGGGCGTGTTGACGCCCGAATATGAAAAAAAATTACCTAAACCGGACCCAAGAGGAGCCTAACTTCCATCTTGTTTTCAGGTATTTTTTGTCTTCTTTAGGAATAGACGCATTATGAAGCTAGGTGATCTGGAAAATCTATGCTAATTATTAACAGGATAAAAAAATGAAACAAAAAAACACACGCTCACTCAAGCACAGGATTGTCATAACGCACTATGAAATCATAAGAAAGTGTGCCGCATAAAATCGCACATCGCTCTTACAGACGTCTCAGCTGCCTGAGGTTCTGCAGGGCTCCCTTCTGGACCGTGCGTATATGGTTGTCATTGAGGTGCCTGCAAAAGAGGGCGCCAGTGACGTTGGAGGGTATAGCATACTGACAGGCTCGCAAACTAGTACGGCGACATTTCAATGCTCAGCCGCGGATGGCGCACGAACGCGCGACAAGAGCTCACAGCCTCTCCAAAGACAGCAGAATCCGAAACGGCGCCTCCGCTATCTCCCCGAGCTCGTTCTCCTGGAGAGACCTGCGGAAGAGTCATTCACGGATGGCAATCGTGAGCATGGGTCAGTGAACTCAGTCATGAGTCAACTCACACAGAATCAATCAGACTCAGATTTGGCTGTGAGTCTGAGTCTGAGTGATTCCTAGTGAGTAGAGCTTGACTCCGAGCAAGTCAGGTTGAAAAGAATTTTAGGGAGTCCGAGTCGCAGTGAATCCGACACAAAAGACGAAAAAATGGCCAGTCTGAGTCTTAGTGAGTCCAGAGAGCAAGGTATATTTCTTGAGTAAGTATGAGTGAGTTTCAATGAGGTTGCCAACTTATCTACTCATCTTCAGCATTACCATGGGCCTTACCTGGATTTTTGTTTGTACTCACGTCTCACAAGAAGTTTAAAACAGTGTTGTTCATAAACCATTTCAACAGTTATTAATAGGCTTGCATCCCGTAAGGGGATGCCTTGTACTACCCCGCCACAAGCTTTTCTGGAGAAGTTCTTGAGTGAGTCTGGTTGAGGGAAATTGTCGGAGCCTCAGTCCGATTGAATCCGGTTGAGGAAAATTGATGAGTAGGGTTTGAGCAGTCCTAAGCGCGAGATGTTTAAGAGAATTCTATTTCTAGAAAAATATACATACAGAGAAGACATTTATGCGTTACATTGTTCGTTCTCAAGACATTGCTAATATATCTTAATATACATTCAATTGCACTACAGGAATTATCCCATGAACTCGAGGTGGTTAAAGGTGGGAAATAGACACGAAGCACGAGCTCTAAGAAAGTGTGCGTGTGCCACATCTCGTTTAGTCCTTGAAATGTCCACTGGATGGCGGTGCTTCTATGTGCGGAATATATGATGAAAAGATGCGACATGGTGGTACTTGGAGTGTTGACTAGATGCGAACGGCACACAGAACGATGCATGGACGGACGCATGATGGCTGCACTGACGGACGGACGCATGAATGGACGCAGGGGCGGATGGATGGAGGAACGCAGGGACGGACGCATGGATGGACGTGCGGATGCACGAACAGACGCATGCACGGACGAGTGGATGGACGTACGGACGGTCACACAGACCGCATAGACGGACGGAAGCAAGAACGAATGGATGGACGAATGCTTCGCCCCTCTCTTCATCATTCACCCCGTGGATATGCTGCCATTTTTTTTGGACTCGGTCGTGGAAAGATTCTAGGCCTTCTTTGTACCTAATCAGGTATAGTTATGCGTTGTTCTGCCGGAGGACGTGAGTTCGGCTAGCCGTGTTTCAATAAAGGCTAAGTACCCAAGAGATTTTGTGTGCATAAGCTTATGTTTCTCTCAATAAACCGCTGCTTGTAACCATTTTTTCACTGTGAAGTACTATGGCTACTCATGATAATATCGTGGTTTTGACATGTACAGTGCTGCAATTTGATGTTCATTATGACGGCTGAATAAAGTACGCGTGATGTATCAATCATGTGTAGGCCTCATGAAGGGTGAGATGGACGGCTCTATGCTCTTCCTTATTTGAATACCTATATAGTACTCTAAATCGTTACCACTTTTTCTAAACAGCTTGGATTAGTGACTGCCTTCTTCATTCCCTAAACTCTGTGTTATCCTGGGATGGCATTTGCTATCTCATAGTGGAGTACTAAGTACTCTAAATCCTTACCACTTATTCTAAACAACTTGAGCTCCGATTAGAGACTGCCTTCTTGATTCTTCAGAGTCTATGTATATCGTGGGACGGCATTTCCTCCCCAATAATGAGTACCAAGTACTCTAAATTGTTGCCACTTTTTTTCTAAACAACTTGAGCTCAAATGTGACGGCCTCTTCATTGTCTAAAGTCTGTGGATATCGTGCGAAGGCATTTGCTCCACCATAGTAGAGTGCTAAGTACTCTAAATTATTAAGCGCTTTTTCTATACAGAATTCCTTGCTTCATTCACATCAATGGAACGGCTTACCGCTCTTTGATAGTCGAGTACCACGTACTTTAGATGGTTAAAAACATTTTCTTGACGCCATCTCCGCAGGTATGTGGTGTTATTTCCTTGTTAAGGAATAAATGGCTCATTGCTCTCCCAGTTCAGTACGAAAACTTTTGTCTAAACAGAGGTACTCTGAATAAATAACCCCCTTTTCTAAACACACAGGCTCTTTCTCATAATTCTGCACAATTTGTAAGGGAAAAAAGACATTTTCAACTGAACGAAAAGTCCAGGTAACTTACAATTGTTCAAGCTGTGCAGTCCTGAAAACGCGTCATCTTCGATGCGCCTGATTCTGTTCTTCGAGAGGAACCTGAAGTGAAAGTAACGCAGTTGAAAGAAAGGGTTAGAGTACCGGTAGTGCTCGTATCCTGAAGACGCTTTTCAGCGTAATAAGCAACATACATCATTATCTTCAATATATATATAGTATATACGGAAGCGAAAAAGCACGACTAACGAGGAAACCTTTTATTAATCACATACGTTTCGGCTGGTGGGCCAGCCTTCATGTAATGCAGCTTTCGTAGCCATTATATACATTTCTAAAACAGTTTTGGGACATGCGCAATAGCAATCGGAAGTGGTTCGACATGATTATACAAAAAGGCAAAATACATTTAGTGTGAAGATGCAATGCGTAAAGTAACATGGACACAGTGGTCACCTCTTATCGTTATAGCGACATCATACGACATCAGTACGACATCAGTATATATAATATTAATATAATATATATATATATATATATAATATAATATATATATATATATATCTATATATTATAATATTATATGTGTGTGTGTGTGTGTGTGTGTGTGTGTGTGTGTGTGTGTGGGTGTGTGTGTGTGGTGTGTGTGTGTGTGTGTGTGGCGGTGTTAGCAATGAAGTAAATCTTAAACAGTCACGGGGGGAAAGCAAGTTTCGCAATGTCGGCCTTTTGTTTTTTATCAGTATGCTTTATTTTCATTCATATAACGTTTAATAAAAAGTTACAAAAGAGCATGAGTGACGGGTCAAGTAGAACAGCACTTAGGAGAAAGTAGTGTAAGTGTACGTTGAACTAAGAAGTAAGTTTCTAATCATAAGACATAGGCAGGCTCTAGCGTCTTCCCTGCTTCAGGTAAAAGTAATAAATAAAATTGGTAGCATTTATGTGATCGCGCGTACCTATAGAGCATAATGTCGTATCGCGGAGACTTGTCAGAAATATAAATGTTGAGTATGCCTCTCTGAAGGCAACCCTGAAACAATACCGGCAACGAAGCGAAGCTTCGCGTCGATGAAGTGCGGATAAAGACCGGAGCTACAGCTTAGGGTTTTCATGTGGGAACCCATAGCGAACGAACTCACGACAAGTGAGTCCTTTCGTGGTTAGCTTTGGGGACATCGAAAGGAGGCAGGCAACTTATACGTTGCTTCGACTGTTTGTTGCGACCATGGGATACTTCCTCCTCCTCCCGTCACTGTGCCTGTTAAGACTTAAGCTTATTTATTAGCAGGGGATATAGTGGCACAGATATGGCGGTCACCCTTTCGTTTAATTTCGTTTTAATATTTGTTTTGAGCTGTCAAGTTACACCTTGACTGTTCCTGAGTCTTCTTAGAGCACGAGTGAGGTTGTTTTGCATCTTTCCGATTGCGATGTGTGACAAAAGAAAGTCAAGGCCAGGACTTCGGTGATCTGTTCGGTGTTGTGGCGTCTTGCTCTCTGCGATTTCGTCGCCTTTTTAGCGTGGAGTATACACAGCGTGTTTCAGAGGGCGCTTTCATCAAAATTTCCTTTTTCATGCTGCTTAGGTGCAGATCGAAGGCACTGAAGCTTTCAGCAGAATTTAAATGAAAAATTAGGGCAGCTTTCCAATTGTGGTGCTAAACCTGAAGAAACTCTGGATTCGGACAGCATTTTTTGTTTCTCTTCAGCTTTCTTCTTCTCGCCTCCTCAATTTTTTTTCTCTTTTTTTCTTCTATTCGTTTCTATTCAATTCAACATTTCTATGCGCCCCTTTTTTATCTCTGTTTTATTTTCGTGTGCTTCCTGTTTTTAATTTCCTTGAACAGCACGAGAACGGCAAGCAGAAGACATCCGAAGCACCTCTAGCTGAGTTTATGGATGTTGGTTTTTCATTGTTGCTCATTTGTGCAAGGTATGGAGAGTGTCAGATGTGCGGAGGGGGCCTTAATGATTTACCTGATCGCTTCTAACACAGTAGCCTTCAGCTTTACTCCTGTTCATTGATATATCTCTTGGTGCCATATATTATTATATTCGTGTGGTGAAGTTATTCCTTATTCTTTCATTGAACGTCCTATCTCTACGTCTTCATCAACGAAGTTAGATCTTTTTTTTTGCTTTAGTTCAAAGTATTGTTACGTCTCAACAGGCTTTTTTGTTTGTTTTTTTGTTGTTCTTTTTTTTTTCTTTCCTTCGCTGTTGTTCGCTTCTTCTCATGCGCGAAGTTTTATCTGTTTCTTCTCATGCGCAAAAAAGAAAGAAGCGCCATCTGCAAAACGCTGTGTATAGTGCAACATCATGCACGCTGTAGGCCTAGCAAAGGGGTTTTGCGTTGTTATACTGCCCCCTTTCCGGCCCTCCAAAAAGTTTCGATTTCGCGTAGCGACGCAAACATAACAACTCACAGCTGATCTGGCAAAGAGTATGTTTATCCCCCTTGCTTTGTACACACACCGGGCTATGGCCCTGCTTCACACCAACGCCTATACAATGCTTGGGCCTGTGTCTGTATTAAGACTCGTCGATCAAGGTGTACTTCTGGCGCCCTCTATCAGTGTTCAACGCGACATCTTTTGGCATCCGACAGTGTAACGGCCACACGGGTCACTGATCACTGCGGCCAAGGAGCCTGGCTGTTTAGTTTCACTCGCTACGCTCAGGTGGCGCGGGAAGCCCTAAGAGGATACAGTTACTGTATATGGCTCCTTATATGACTCCCTTTGGTGCGCCATATACAGTAACTCTAAAGGAGAATGTAGGGTCATTGTTGGGAAAGCTTTTTTTGAAACTTTCACTACAGTTACATGCCGTCATAGCTGAGTGACGAAAGCAAAGATATATATACTCGAGCTTCTTGACATGTTGCGAACAAATCGACATTTGTATATAAATATTTAATTTGTTTAGTCTCGGAAAAATGCCATGAACGCAGTTGTTACAGAAGCACGTTGAAATCAACAGCTAGACGGTGTCGTGTGTGTTCACACGTGAACATCGGTGCGCAGACGTATGTGGTTCCTTGACTAAATTGCATTGGCGTTGAATTCCTAGTGCGGTTTAGGAGACATGCTTTGCTGAAAATGAACTCACTGAGAACGTAAGTGGCTTAAAGAGAACAATCGACGCCAAGCAAATATACAGCAAGGTTCCGTGTCGTAATTTGGCATCGCTCCTTCCGACAACTGTGATGTATTTGTAGGAATATAGTCCGAAGAATTGAGCAAGGCGAGAGAATTGACATGTTTGAATATTAACACAAGTGTTTGGGGGATGTGAACATATTGCAAATAGGGGTAGGTTGGTCCTCATTGCTAAGTTTCAATTCTTGAATCTAGTTTATTTTAGGGGAGCCTCATTGGCGTTGTTGAGAAACGGCGGACCGATCCGCCGAAGCCACCACTGTTGCGAAAGACGGCGACGCCAACACGGCCCGAGGCGCCACTGCTTTCAACTCCGCCGGGAAGGTCACCAGCCGTTTGGTAGCGTATGTTATCAGCTCGCGACTGCTTCTGCGCAGAGCTGATAAGACGAGCGGACGAGACGACGGTGAGTTAAACAAGGTTTATGTACAGCATATATACAGAGGCGTTACAATTTCGGCACTGGGGCCGACAGAGACTCGAAGAGCCGAGCTCTCTCTCTAACACATAGGTCAGCCTTTCGCCTAAGACCGCTGACTCACACACATGTCGGCACTCCGACACGGGGACGCCTCTCACATAGGACCGCCGATCGCGACGCGCCGCAGGGCTTCTTTTATTTACACCGGGTCCAACCAAATGTCCAATCAGAAGCGCCGCTGGTCGTGGGCAGATTCCGCCAATGGGGGTCGCCGCGCCATGCGTCAGACCACCAGGCACGAGAACGCCGGCTCGCTGTCACGTGCGCCGATGACTCACTGCACGTGGGCCAGAGGAGCCGCGCGTGTTCACGCCGTTGAGATGTTCGCGTCGGGCAGACGGCGGGCTGGCCTTGACCCAGATTGCCTTTTTCAGAGGCACGGTCGTTTGACGAGGACTCGCTGGCATAACAGCCCCCGCCGCCAGACAATGCACCGGAAAGACGAGCTGCTTCCACGGGGCTCGGATGTCAGGTGCGCTCGTTCGCCAGGTCCCTCCAGGTTCGCCTCCAGGGCCATGGGGGAATACAGCTCCAGACTGTTCCGGGAACACATCCCATTTTGACGACGGATCCCAGCTCCACTGGCTTGTCGCCACAACTTGCTGACCACTTCGCTCGTCTCTTCTGACCATCTTCGGTTTCAGCACTTGTCGATGGTTCTGCAACTTGCTAAGAACGGTTCGACAACAGACAACACACGACACAAGCAAGTGCCCTCGGTCACCCGACAGAACACCAGACAAAGTATAGTACAACATATACCTATCTACGTGTCTATCGGAATTTTGTTCCCTCTACATCAAGAGGCACATGTGGGACAAAGACTCTTAAAATGACAACTCAATTTTTTTTCCACGTACAACAACGTAACGAATTAGAATACCACAAAGTTGGCCCCTTGAGATCACTCTGAACGAGAGCGCTCAGCCCAGGTCGTGATGAGGTCAAAATTTTGCCCCGAATCGCCAGCGAGAAACCGAAAGGTTGAGAAGTTACTAGCTGGAACGCACTGCTCAATGCACCTGCATTAGCGTTTACCTTTCCTTTTTTTTTTTTAGCGAACGTCAAAGTTGCGCTGTGGAGCAACATGCTCCACTCAGTAACCGGCCACTTTTAGGCGACGATACCTATGCGGCACCAAGAGCGGCTCACACTTGCGACGTTGCACAGGGGAACAACGATACGGCTTGCTACTGATTGACTCCTCACCGCTTAGCTCGATATCGTGTTCGATCACCCTCATGTTTCCGGGGCGGTCCGAAAACACGTCTTCAAACTCGGAACCAATCTTTCTCAGGTCCTCTTTCTCAGGTCCTCCTTCACTTAAGCTAGGCTCTAGGTTTATCTGCTCCCAAATTACTTTCGATCCCCTTCGATACCTCACTAGAACTCAAATTTTCTGCTTCCTTTCTGAAGCCTTCAACAGCTGATTTACGACCGCTTGATGTTGAACATTGGGTTTCATCAAGTTGTAAATTTTGTTCTGCCGCCTTCCTACTTCCTCATAATTGTATCGCAAGGCTTCGATAATACTTGGCGGGCCCTCCCCAATAATAGAGTACCAAGTACTCTAAATTGTTGCCACTTTTTTTCTAAACAACTTGAGCTCAACTTAGTGACGGCCTTCTTCATGTCTAAAGTCTGTGGATATCGTGCGAAGGCATTTGCTCCACCATAGTAGAGTGCTAAGTACTCTAAATTATTAAGCGCTTTTTCTATACAGAATTCCTTGCTTCATTCACATCAATGGAACGGCTTACCGCTCTTTGATAGTCGAGTACCACGTACTTTAGATGGTTAAAAACATTTTCTTGACGCCATCTCCGCAGGTCTGTGGTGTTATTTCCTGGTTAAGGAATAAATGGCTCATTGCTCTCCCACAGTTCAGTACGAAAACTTTTGTTCTAAACAGAGGTACTCTGAATAAATAACCCCCTTTTCTAAACACACAGGCTCTTTCTCATAATTCTGCACAATTTGTAAGGGAAAAAAAGACATTTCAACTGAACGAAAAGTCCAGGTAACTTACAATTGTTCAAGCTGTTGCAGTCCTGAAAACGCGTCATCTTCGATGCGCCTGATTCTGTTCTTCGAGAGGAACCTGAAGTGAAAGTAACGCAGTTGAAAGAAAGGGTTAGAGTACCGGTAGTGCTCGTATCCTGAAGACGCTTTTCAGCGTAATAAGCAACATACATCATTATCTTCAATATATATATATGTATATATACGGAAGCGAAAAAGCACGACTAACGAGGGAAACACTTTTATTAATCACATACGTTTCGGCTGGTGGGCCAGCCTTCATGTAATGCAGCTTTCGTAGCCATTATATACATTTCTAAAACAGTTTTGGGACATGCGCAATAGCAATCGGAAGTGGTTCGACATGATTATACAAAAAGGCAAAATACATTTAGTGTGAAGATGCAATGCGTAAAGTAACATGGACACAGTGGTCACCTCTTATCGTTATAGCGACATCAGTACGACATCAGTACGACATCAGTATATATTATATATATAATATATATATATATATATATATATATATAATATATCTATATATATATATATATATATATATATAATATATATGTGGTGTGTGTGTGTGTTGTGTGTGTGTGTGTGTGTGTGTGTGTGTGTGTGTGTGTGTGTGTGTGTGTGTGTGTGGCGGTGTTAGCAATGAAGTAAATCTTAAACAGTCACGGGGGGAAAGCAAGTTTTGCAATGCCGGCCTTTTGTTTCTTATCAGTATGCTTGATTTTCATTCATATAACGTTTAATAAAAAGTTACAAAAAAGAGCATCAGTGACGGGTCAAGTAGAACAGCGCTTAGGAGAAAGTAGTGTAAGTGTACGTTGAACTAAGAAGTAAGTTTCTAATCATAAGACATAGGCAGGCTCTAGCGTCTTCCCTGCTTCAGGTAAAAGTAATAAATAAAATTGGTAGCATTTTATGTGATCGCGCGTACCTATAGAGCATAATGTCGTATCGCGGAGACTTGTCAGAAATATAAATGTTGAGTATGCCTCTCTGAAGGCAACCCTGAAACAATACCGGCAACGAAGCGAAGCTTCGCGTCGATGAAGTGCGGATAAAGACCGGAGCTACAGCTTAGGGTTTTCATGTGGGAACCCATAGCGAACGAACTCACGACAAGTGAGTCCTTTCGTGGTTAGCTTTGGGGACATCGAAAGGAGGCAGGCAACTTATACGTTGCTTCGACTGTTTGTTGCGACCATGGGATACTTCCTCCTCCTCCCGTCACTGTGCCTGTTAAGACTTAAGCTTATTTATTAGCAGGGGATATAGTGGCACAGATATGGCGGTCACCCTTTCGTTTAATTTCTGTTTTAATATTTGTTTTGAGCTGTCAAGTTACACCTTGACTGTTCCTGAGTCTTCTTAGAGCACGAGTGAGAGTTGTTTTGCATCTTCCGATTGCGATGTGTGACAAAGAAAGTCAAGGCCAGGACTTCGGTGATCTGTTCGGTGTTGTGGCGTCTTGCTCTCTGCGATTTCGTCGCCTTTTTAGCGTGGAGTATACACAGCGTGTTCAGAGGGCGCTTTCATCAAAATTTCCTTTTTCATGCTGCTTAGGTGCAGATCGAAGGCACTGAAGCTTTCAGCAGAATTTAAATGAAAAATTAGGGCAGCTTTCCAATTGTGGTGCTAAACCTGAAGAAACTCTGGATTCGGACAGCATTTTTTGTTTCTCTTCAGCTTTCTCCTTCTCGCCTCCTCAATTTTTTTTTCTCTTTTTTATCTTCTATTCGTTTCTATTCAATTCAACATTCTATGCGCCCCTTTTTTATCTCTGTTTTATTTTTCGTGTGCTTCCTGTTTTTAATTTCCTTGAACAGCACGAGAACGGCAAGCAAGAAGACATCCGAAGCACCTCTAGCTGAGTTTATGGATGTTGGTTTTTCATTGTTGCTCATTTGTGCAAGGTATGGAGAGTGTCAGATGTGCGGAGGGGGCCTTAATGATTTACCTGATCGCTTCTAACACCGTAGCCTTCAGCTTTACTCCTGTTCATTGATATATCTCTTGGTGCCATATATTATTATATTCGTGTGGTGAAGTTATTCCTTATTCTTTCATTGAACGTCCTATCTCTACGTCTTCATCAAACGAAGTTAGATCTTTTTTTTTTTGCTTTAGTTCAAAGTATTTGTTACGTCTCAACAGGCTTTTTTGTTTGTTTTTTTGTTGTTCTTTTTTTTTTCTTTCCTTCGTTGTTGTTCGCATCTTCTCATGCGCGAAGTTTTATCTGCTTCTTCTCATGCGCAAAAAAGAAAGAAGCGCCATCTGCAAAACGCTGTGTATAGTGCAACATCATGCACGCTGTAGGCCTAGCAAAGGGGTTTTGCGTTGTTATACTGCCCGCCTTCCGGCCCTCCGAAAAGTTTCGATTCCGCGTAGCGACGCTCACATAACAACGCACATCTGATCCGACAGAGAGTATGGTTATCCCCCTCCGCTCCTTCCTGTACACACACCGGGCTATGCCCCTGTTTCACACCAACGCCTATACAATGCTTGGGCCTGTGCACGTTTTCCTTCCTCCGTGGGCCTGTGTCTGTATTAAGACGCGTCGATCAAGGTGTACTTGTGGCGCCCTCTATCAGTGTTCAACGCGACATCTTTTGGCATCCGACAGTGTAACGGCCACACGGGTCACTGATCACTGCGGCCAAGGAGCCCCGCTGTGTAGTTTCACTCGCTACGTTCAGGTGGCGCGGGAAGCCCAAGGAGGATATAGTTACTGTATATGGCTCCTTATATGACTCCCTTTGGTGCGCCATATACAGTAACTCTAAAGGAGAATGTAGGGGCATTGTAGGGAAAGCTTTTTTTGAAACTTTCACAACAGTTACATGACGTCATAGCTGAGTGACGAAAGCAAAGGTTTATACTCGAGCTTCTTGACATGTTGCGAACAAATCGAAGTTTGTATATAAATATTTAATTTGTTTAGTCTCGGAAAAATGTCATGGACGCAGTTGTTACAGAGGCACGTTGAAATCAACAGCTAGACGGTGTCGTGTGTGTTTACACGTGAACATCGGTGTGCAGACGTATGTGGTTCCTCGACTAAATTGCAATGGCGTTCAATTCCTATGGCGGTTTAGGAGACATGCTTTGCTGAAAATGAACTCACTGAGAACGTAAGCAGCTTAAAGAGAACAATCGACGCCAAGCAAATATACAGCAAGGTTTCGTATCGTAATTTGGCATCGCTCCATCCGACAACTGTGAGGTATTTGTAGGAATATAGTCCGAAGAATTGAGCAAAGCTGAGAGAATTGACGTGTTTGAATATTTAACACAAGTGCTTGGGGGGATGTGAACATATTGCAAATGCTGGGTAGCTTGTCGTCATTGCTAAGTTTCAATTCATTGAATCTAGTTTCATTTTAGGGGAGCCTTCATTGGCTTGTACTTGTGGCGCCCTCGATCGATACTTAACGCAACACTTATGCATCCGAAAGTGCCGCCACACCGCGGTCGCTGATCGTTACGGGCAAAGAGCCTCGCAGTGTAGTTGCACTCGCTAGGCATAGGTGGCGCCGGGAGCACAAGGAGAATCTATTCCGGAATTTTCACAACAGTGATCAAGAGTACTAGATTGTCTTACACGTGGGCTAGAAGAGGGAAATTTCACCTCCACATTGGTTCATTGGTACTTGCTTGCAAACGCATTGAAAATGGTATTCAAATAACCCATATATTTTTATTATTATTATTATAGATACTCACAAGTGTCTCAAGTTCCTGAGCTTCTCGAAGGCCTGGTTTTCAACAATCTGCAACTGGTTGCTGTCCAGCATCCTGCACATGAGTCATGCACATTTGCACACGTTTGGGTTATTACAGGCGTGCGGTATACGACGCAAGAAAGAACATCTCACACAGTTCGTGACACAACACACGAAACTAGTTCAGACATTGGAATTATGCACTAGGTACACATTGTAGTGTTGTTCAACATATAATAATTCAACATATTTCATTTTATTTCAATCATTGTACCCTCAGGGTCAAACAGGGCATTACTGAGAGGAGTAGGTTACAGGCAACAATGGTAAACTGTGCAGCATAAGTGAAGCATAACTCCGCAGGAATATAATGCAGCGAGTGAAAAATCTGGAAACTGTTACAAAGTGTTGCGTCAAAGTAAGATGTACAAAAAAGGGATATCTAAAAACGTGAGAAAAGCACGAAAGTAAAATCTAAAAAAAAAACTATTGCAAAGTCAAGGAAAGGCATGCGAGAAATAGAAATATAAATACTACAAGAAAAACAAGAAATACAGAATATATACAGTAGCTCTAGCTCTGCCACTTGTTGTGAGGAGAAATAGCTCGCTGATGGCGTTTCCATCGTAATGGGCACGTGCTTTATTAGTTTACATCCCGGGTTTATGTACTTATGGGCCAATAACGGAATACTGTAGTATACCTTACTAAAGACAAAATAAGTGTTCATGACAGGCATCGAATATCGCTAACACAATTTAATTATTTGTGCGTATACATTTTGTCAGAAGAGGCGGGGTGAAAAGTGCGTTCTATTTTATGTAGATATGAATCCATATTTATGAGGTCATTCATGCACAGTTAGGAAGGGCCAATCACGTAGTGATGGGTAGGACATGCTGCCGATACTTACAGGGTGTCCAGGTTGGGTAGGTCTTGAAATGCGTTCGCCGGTATGCGCTGTATTTGGTTGAAGCGCAGGTCACTTGGTTGTTTACGAGACGAGCATTTATGAAAAAAAGATGCGAAAAAGTCAATACAAACGCAATTGGTGATTCTGAAAAACTTGTAGCTGGGCGAGTAGGTTCAAATTTCAAGGTAAACTGGTGTTCGCTAGCAAACAGGAGGACACCTAAGAGATGGGAGAAGAACAAGCGCTAGCTACAACTGAATTTTATTAATTGACGCCCTTCAAATATATACTCACGGAAAAGACAGCCAATTGCTCACATGGTCAAAGCCAAACAGCTTACATGGAAGTTGCTTTTTGGGCAAGTTGCTACATACTTAGTAAACTACAAAAGCCACATAGTCACGCAAGAAGGCACGAAAAAATTACGCTGACTATCACATGGAGAAACATAAGTGTCGCTAACACAAGCATTGGCTCTTGCAGATATATGAAAGGCTTCCATCAGTTCGCGGGCTGCGGTATTACCTCTCCTACCCAAAATCTCAACCTCTCAGAAAATCCGTGAGCACATGCGAGCTTGGCAACGTGCGGGCAAATGCACGTTCCCGTTATTTACAAGTGAAAGCTCGTGTTTTCTTGCATTGCCCTTCACAGAACACCCGCGAACTGATAGCTGTTATATATTTGCAAGAGGCAATGCTTGTGTTAGCGACACGTCTGTTTCTTTATTTGATACTGAGCGTGATGTTTTGCGTGTCTTTGTATAAGCTGTTTGGTTTTGACCTTTTGAGGACGTGACTATGGCCTGTGTTCAAAAAGCAACCTCGGCTTTACCTCACGTTTACCTCAACTTCCTGTACTCTCTGCATACGTCATGAAGGCACGAAAATGGTAACAAGGTGTGAGATAGGGACATGACTGGTTCACGAATACTGCCCCATTTTTTTCATCATGTGCAATAAAGGCTTGAAACCGAAAAGGAAAACTCGAGGAAAGGATGAGATAGGTTTGTGAATACGGGCCTATGTCGTTTCCGTGAGTATACGTTCGAAGAGTGACGATTATGAAGTTCAGTTAAAAGTTTGCACTCGTCCCTGTCTCACGTTTTTTTGTGTCCTTATCTTCGTTTGCACCCAGCAGTTTACCTTCAAACGCAATGAGCACGAAAATTTATTCTTAGAGATCAGCTAAATGCGATGCGCCCATAAAGTGTACGGGGTGCGCAATCCATTCTATGCGCTTTGAGCATTCCATTTCCACACCTATAAGGGCATATAGAACAGACACACCTCCATAAAACTATCATGCACTGAGCTTATTCGGTCTAACATATGTCAAAAGTGCATTTTGTTTGTATCTGTAATCTTTGTCAAATGTTACGAATCACACATTTCGCTTTATCTTGTCAATAAATACGTAAACTAATAAATATTTACATTGTATATAATATTGCAAATATTAAATAGCACCTAAAGGATGGCTTGCTAAATTTTCAGTATCCTACTCGTAGAAATCTCCTTATGACTGTCGTCAAAATACACTTTGAATTGAAGTCGCTCAACTGTTAAGCCAGGGAATAGAAACAAAACACACTGCGTAGCAAACTTGCAACATCCAATCAAGGCTGTCGACGTCACGTGCTTTGTGTTGATACGGGTGACTCACCTCTAGCAATTACAGACCTCGCTCTTTTTGAAACTCTGGCACAAGCTGCCGTACACGCGACGCTATATAGAGGCGATTATTTTCATTTTTTCATTGCGATGACTTCTTGAAGGCGACTAGATTGTGTGTCGTCGCTGCTGAAACACCCAACGCTCCCTGTTGCCATTAGTCGAGATGCTACTTCCAAGGCCTTAGATTATTTCTCAGCGCGTTTTTGTCTCGTTTTGCCTGTTTATAGCTGAACGATAATGGTCGGCGCACTTCTTCGTGGCCTGGTCGTTTCAATGTCAAGGATTGGCTCGTCTTGATTTCGAAAAGCTGTACACAAGGTCTCGGTCAAGTTTGTGTGCCTCCGCCGCTTAGAAACGGCTTCTGCAATTACCCTTTCGGAGCGGCAGCTGCATGCGTGCGTAAAAAATCAGCAATTTGAAAACATGGCTCCCTTGGAATAATTAGAATATCAACCTACAGCAAAGCGCAAAAAAAAAAAAACTTCGTCACACGTATACTATCATGCTAGTTCATCCACTGCCAAATGTACAAAAATTACGGCCGAAATGCCATTATTTACAGTAATAGCTTTTAAAAGCCCTAAACTGGGAAAATTATGTCATGATAATGAATAAAGAGATATTAGGCAGAAATTCGATATTCATGTAGCGCATATTCTTTTGTGTACTGTTATACAAGCGTATTTCGGAAAGACTAATGGAAAAGTATTCCAGTGACACTATTACACCGTGTCATGTCCACATGATAAAATAATGATTACGTTAATAAGTAACCAAAAATTACCCCATTTCCCGCTCAAGGAGCCCATGACTGAAAGCAAAGTTGCACGATTGGTGCACACCGCGCGAATGAGGGCTACCAACGGCTACGCAGTAAATACAAACAAAGCAGACGCGCTCTGTCTCACCAAAACGTGAACCGCGTTCCACGGGGAACTTAGGAGGGGGGAACGAAGAGGAGAGAGAGAGAGAGGGGGGGGGGGGGCAAGTGGATGTACATGCGCAGTAGAGGTGTGGATGCGGAGCTGCTGAGGTGTTTCGTTGCCTTCTCCGGCGACTCAGAAGAGAGGAGTGAACGTATGAGAGGAGCAAGAGCGGGAGCAGGGTGCGCATAAGCGCTGTAAGGGTGGTCACTTGCCCTTCCTTTTCCTTGCGCTCACGTGAGAGGGGGCTGACATTCAACGGCTACTAACGAAGCAGACAGGTTCTGTCTCAAGAAAAAGTGGAACGCGTTTCCACGGTAAGTGTAGGAGCGGGGAGCGTAGGACAGGAGAGAGGGGGGCAGTGGTATGCACATGCGTAGTGGAGGTGTGGACGCCGCACTGGAAAGGAGGCAGTTCGTTGCCTTCACCAGTGACTCAGAAGAGAGGGGGAAGCGTAGCAGGGGAAGGGGAGCATGCGCTCTAAGGGTGGTCACGCCACACACCCGATTCAACTCGACCCTAAGGCGCTTCACATCTAAAAGTCATACAATATAAATAAAAATGAGAAAACGCAAACAATGTACCAACATAACAGTCGAGTCAACTGTGCATAGTTCATTGTTTACTGGCGACTTCACAAACATTGACTTCAGTTGTAATAACATTCACAGTAAAGAAAAGGAAGTGTCTATTTCAGTTATGTCTATTGCAGTCTTGTTTCACTTCATTGTTTTAGTTGGCTATTTGATTTCTAGACCTGTTTTAAGGTAGCCATAGTTCTTGCTGCACACAATATAAAAAAGAAGCAGCCAATGTGCTATATAATATACCCCAGTACTCCCACAGCAATAAATAATTACAGAAAAGAACAGATCATCATCAGCAGCAGCAGCGGCGGCAGCGGCGGCAGCAGCAGCGGCAGCAGCAGCGGTGGCGGCAGCATCCCCGCGATCTTTAAGGGGTGAAGTTCCTTATTGTCTAGGACAATCCTTCGTTACTCCAGCGTACCCAGTAGCGTTTCTGTTACCATACAATAGATGACACTGTCCCATCGAAATGCATGCCGAACAGTCGGGTGATGATATTCTAGATGGCGCTGTTCGCATTCTATGCCGTCATAACCATTTCTCGTCTAGTTTTATAGATGACGCAGTCTCATAGAGATGTGTGCAATTGGTGGTTAGGTCGATAGACACTAGATGGCAATGCATGTGCTGCTGCTTTCCAATTGGCTGTTGTGCGGGATGCGCGGGGCAGTGCCGGAGTGCCCATTATCTCTCGTTCTCTGATCGTCGCCGTACGTGTTGGATCTTGCATGGTGGCTCGAGAGGCTGCCGTCAAGCGAGCGCGGCGCCGGGCAGATCCCGATACAGTGCACGCCAAGGAACCAGCTGCGAAACGGGCTCAATGAGCAACGGACCCCGGTGTGCGAAAGCGAGAAGCGGTGGTGAAACGTGCGCGGCGCCGGGTGGACCAGGATGCTGCTTCTCGGAGGGCTCATGGTATCATCGAAAAACCTCCACAGCTTCACCCACCTCACCATCATCCACTCAGTGGAGATAATCTCATCGGCCCACCTAACCTTCTGTCTCCCCTTCGTGCCTTTTCACGAAATCAAGTCAGTTACCCTCAATGTCTAGCGGTCATCCTGCCTACGTGCTGCGTGCCCGGCCCATGTTCATTTTTTCTTCTTGATTTCAACTATGACACCCTTAGCCCCTGTTTCTTCCCTGACCCACACTGCACTCTTCTTGTCCCTTGCAGTAACACCTATCATTTTTCTTTCCATCACTCACTTCGTCGTCCTCAATTTAAGGGGAACCCTCTTTGTAAGCTTCAAGGTTTCTGCTCTGTAGGTACGTACCGGCAAGATACAGCTGTTATATACCTTCCTCTTGAGGGTTAGTGGTAGATTACCTTTCAATACTTCAGCACACTGGCCGAATGCGGTCCACTTTATCTTTGTTCTTAAAATTTTTTCCCTTTAATGGTTTGGCACCGCGGTAACTACCTCTCTTAAGTAGACATATTCCTGTTCAACTTCTGGCGTCTCTCAACCTATCACAAAGTTCTTTTTCCTGCCAAGACTGTTGCACATTGCTTTACTTTTATGCACAATAATTTTCGGACCTACTCCTCTGCTTTGCATGTTCAGTTCAGTAATCATGACCTGTAATTTATCCCCTGAGTTACTCATCAAGGCAATATCATTAGCGAACCACAGCTTACTAAGGTACTCTCCAGTAACCCTTATCCCTATCTCTTCCCAATAGGGCCCTAAAATCTTCCTGTCAACACGCGGTGAATAGCATTTGTGAGATCATGTCATCCTGCCTTACGCCCTTCTTTATGGGAATTTTGCCGCCTTCTTTATGGAGAACTATGATGGCTGTGAATCAGCTGTAGATTTTTTCCGGTATGTTTTTTTTATTGAAATAGCAAATAAACGAAGGAGTTTTTGTCACCGTTACTT